CAGCTATTCTGGAAGTAAGTTATTTACAACTCTATGGTTAATGTGGCTTGCCCTGTTCAAGAAACTTCTAATTGCATAATCCCTATTCCTGAAAATGGTTCTTCTTAAATTTCTAGATAATCTTTGCAGCCGTGCGTCCATTACAACTGAGGTCCACCTTCTGGCCCTAGAGACTTCCACTCCTTCTCCACTTATTGCTTCAACGTCAAGAATGGCATTGTTTTCAAGGACCTTCAGGGCCTCAATGAATTGCCACACATTTGGGCGGTGAGCACCAACTTTGTTGTGGAGCATGCGGTTGTGGCTCTCACACGCATTGTTTGTGCGGTCTGCTTTGTTGAAGAAACACATCCAGCCTCTTCGCCTGTTGTTGGCAATCCATTCATCATTGACATAGTTGAAAAAGCCACGCATGAGGTAATAAACAACGGCATTCCGCCTTCGTATATCTCCCTTGATAATTTGAAGTGCCCGCTCAAAATATTGTGATGGCAGTAAAGAAATTGCTACTGCTTTCATGAGCACTTTTTTAATATCAGGAAAATGACGCATGTACCTCACCAATCTTAAATTCTTGCACTTCTTGATGAAGGCGCTGCATAGATGGTACAGGCATCCCTGGATTGAAGCTCCTAGCAAAGAAAAAGACCAGTTTCAATGAGAGATGTAATGATATGTATTATTTCAAATAGTTGGTGGCTGTAGTAGATGTACTACAAGAAATATGTAAAACATACTTGGAAATTCAATTTGCCATGCTCTTTGCTGGGGATACTCAAAATCTGTGATGATCTTCCTTGGATTTATAGCAGTTTGGTTTTTCAGGAACTGAAAAACAGCCCTGTAGGCTGAGATTGTGCGCCTTTCCATGAGGACCCAACAAAGAGGAACCACCTGTTTAAAAAACCAAAAAAGGGACAATGGTATTGATTATAATTTTCAAACTTACATTAAATTTGTGTAATTTATAATTATAACTTCTTACATGAGTCTCCCATGTGGTGACAATACAAAACAATTGACTACTTCTTGGTGTTGCAGGTCTTGATTTGAATGTACCATCTGCATGGAGCACCTCTGCTTCACCTAGTATCCACTTCTGCTCCTCCGACATGAAGATGACATGATGGCTCCCATCTCTGGCGGTCACTGATCCGGCGTAAATGAAATCATCCCCTTCAGTTTGTATGATATGGGCATTATTAACGTCCAGCAATGCCGCAGACAGCTCCTCCAATGTTTGAGGAATCTCAGGGTATGTTTCAAGTCTTGCTCTTCTCATTGATGACCTGAGTCTTGGAAGAGTCATCCTTGCCCGGACTCTCCTACTGTATCTGCAAAAATATTTGCTTTGTTAAAGCGACTAGGCATATTGGGTTGAGTTCTCAATTTATATCTATAGTATGTGGCAGGATAGGAGAGCTGAAATGACAGCAGTAGTACTGTTTTTGTATCAAAGATATTTTCCCTCCAATATTTACCTTCGGTTTGACCTTTGGTTGTCCAGGATTTGACGGTAGGAAACCCATTTTTGCTCTCTGCAATCATTAAGCACTTGCCGGTGGAATGCTCTCTCCTCCACCAGGTCAGGGTTTGGGGGGTGGTTGTGGTTTCCTCTGTGAGTGAAGCCAGCGCCCATGTCGTACAGAATTGCCCTACCTTTGCAATTTAGTGTGTCATATTTCATACACTTGAAGTAGATTGAATTTTTATACTGCCTGTTGAAGTGGTATGCATGGCCATTGTCCCCAAGGTGATAGAAGAATGTTTCTTCTCTAAATCCCTTTTCTTGGATGAGTCTGACCACTCCTCTTGTCAATCGAGACGTTAGTATAAGCAGACTGCAATCAAATCGACTTCAGTTCACAGCAAATTCAACGCTAAATTCCTCAATAAGCCTAAAGAAGCAAAAAAGTCTTACCAGAAAATGAGCCATATCACCCATTGTATGTTTTGCTTCATATTGGATAATGACTAACTCAAGAAGCAGGATATATACCTCAAATAAGACGAACTTTAAGAAAGAGAATATTTTGAATGAATTGTCGAAAGATTTAAACTTTAAATATACCTCCAAAACTTAAAATAGGTATATAGTTCTAATTATACGTGTGAAGAGGGTTAAGCTTTAAGAAAAACTTGGATGAGCTAAAAACTCAAAAACGACCAAACCTTGCGCGTTGGCTTAGACATGAAAGTGTACCACTGATAACAAACAAACGGTGGAGCGCCGCGCGCCAAGAGCGGCTTTTGTTTTTTGCTCCCCGATTCGATGGAATGCCCTTTTTAAAAGTGCTGCCAACCCGCTCACGTTGACAAGATTTAAACTAATAAACAAGTTAAAGTCAAGCCTAATTAACTCATCATTTATCACTTAAAATTTCCTCTATGTTTAATCATGCTTTTATTTTCAGTATGTGCCGTTGCACTCCCGTAATAATACAATGAATGATCAGCTGCATCTTATGGCCAACCTGGATGGAGGCGGGTACTTTGCTGTCGGCAATCACTCTGCTGTTTGACTCCTTTGTTCTCTCAGCTCAGCACTCAGGCAAAGATAGGAGTCTAGAGTTTCGGCGAACGTTCAAGCCTCGCTGCTAAAAATAAAAACTAAGGTAAGTGTATGAAAAAAGGAGACATCCTCCACACCAACGTTTTCCTGCTTTACGGCCGAACAATTTATTAGTGGGGCTGGTGTTCAATTTTTGGGAAGTCTGGTCGATACGACGGACGTTTTTTGCCAAAGTCAATTGGTAGTAAATGTGGAAACGCTTTTTTGAACAAGTTGAAGTTCTTTGGATTGCGTTTTTGCTAGCCGAATGTAAAAGATGTCAAGAAAACTGTCTTTTTTCATTGAGGATAATAAATGAGGTAACCGTATGACAGCAATTTTACTGTTGTTTTTTTTTTATTGCTTTTCTCTAAAACCAGCCCTAGTAAAAAAGGCTACACTATTCCATAATTTTCATTCAACGATAATTTTTTTGTTTGATAAAGAAACATGCAATTACAACATGGACTCCAAAATGACACCTTTTGAGTTCATTGTAGTCATATGTCCTAGTGGCATTGCTTCTTTACTGAACATTTCTATACGTAATTAATATTGTTACCACTAGTTTGTTTATTGAACCTTCACGTTCATATTTATTTTCAATGTGGGCAGTTTTCTTAAAGCGATGTTGTTGCAAATGCTAATTGTACTTTGACTTATTGATGTTGCAGTTGATTTGCATGCAAGTCATAATTTGTTTTAGTAACCGCACTGTTTTTTTTTTGTTTTTTGCAGATGCCAAGGAGGGCTAAAAGTAGTCACCCCAAACCCAAACCCCCCAAACAGAATTATCAACACCCTGAAAGGAAGCACAATCGTCGATTCCGAACTCAACCTTCACCTCATTCTCCCTATCCTCCATGTGCCCCACACCTTTACCCCTCCGGGCCATATCATCCACCCTTCCATTACCACCCTTACCCTTCTCCGATTCAGTATCAAGTACATCCAAATCGACCTTATGCGGCACCCCTATTGTACCCACATTCCCACATGCCTCGTCCCTACTTTCCTCCAGTTCACTATCATTCTGTGTCAAAAAAGAGGAAGCATATTGCAAAGCCCTCAACACAAATGAACAAAACTAAGCAGAAGGTGAGTTGGAAATTTATCCGATTTAATATAGTCAAAGAAGTAAGCTGAGTAGGATCCAGCTCAGAATGTGTTTTGCTGATTCTTTAACCTTAAGATCTATTTCAATTATCTATCTGACTCGTATACAACAATTATACTTCTAGTAATTGGGACAATGATTTACAATTTGTATTTCCCCCCTTAGATTGTCCAATCTTCTTCGGCTCTAGGAGGTAATTCATTTGATCCATCACATGCGAAGGTCTATATGGAGGATAGCGCCTTGGACTTGACATCACATCAGGTATTCTATCCATGACTGTTGCATAAAAAAATTAACATAAATTGTCGATGACAAAATTTAATATTTTTATCAAGCTTTTTTTCATCTTTGTTTTTTTAACTAACTCTTTAGGTTTTTGAGATTTTACAGTGTAGTAGAATAAACCAGATGTTATAGCATTTCCATAATGATTTTGAACATTTTCTATTTCCTCGCAGAGTGGTCAATCTTCTGCAGCTCAAGGAAGTAGTAATACTCTCACAATTTCATCAAATATGCCTCCTCCGCAATCTCTTCCTGCTAAGACTTTTTCATATGATGAATCATTGGAAAGGGGTCCTACGAAGAATCTCTTCTACTTGTCCAGGCCCAAGGTACATCAAAAAGTTGCACCTAACTATTTTTGTGAATTGTCTATGTCAAAAATGAAAGTTTGCACCAACCTTATATTTTTATTTTTTCTGTGGCATCACTCTTCTGAGATCTATGTTAACTAACTGTAAAGATTTTTGAGATTTGATGGTGTTTTAGAATAACTAGATGTCATTCTTAGCATTTCGGACACTGACTGTGAACTTTTTACTGTCTCATCACAGACTGGCCAATATTCTACAGCTCAAGAAAGTAATTCTATTTACACAAATTCATCAAACCTACCTCCTCTGCAATCTGTCCCTGCTTTCAAGTCTTCTTTTTCTGGTAATGAAGTACCTACCAAGAACCTTCGTATGCAGTACCCCTTCAACTTGACCCAGCTCAAGGTACCACATCTAAGACTGTTGCATGTTGCATGTTACAATTAGTGGAAACGTTCCATGTCTAAAATTACAGTTTGCACTAAACGTCGTGCCCTTGAATCTTTTTCTGGATTAAGTTGAACCATCTGTCTACAGTTTTTATTAATAATATATAAGATGTAGTATGGCAGGTTGTAGGATAACCAGATGGTACTTCTAATATTGTAACAATGAATTATGTTTGTAATTTCTATCTCATTAACAGAGCAGCCAAAGTAGTTCATCTTTTGGAAGTAATTTGAAAACATGGTCCAAATCACCTGCCCTCAACAATAAGGAGACTTATTGGGATGAATCTCACTCAGGGCACCATATGCAGGACAGTTCCTCCAATTTTGTCACTCATAAGGTACTATATACAAGACTCTGGCTGAAAAAGATTAGCGTATTGTGTTTTGGTTAAAATAAAAACTTTAATGCATGCCTCTTGTTTACATTTTGCACCATTTTGTATTAAATGTAATGTACATACATACTGCTTGGTCAATATACATCGACTGGTTTATAATTGTAGTGATTTTGACCATGAGTTAACATTGTTATTTTTTCACAGGTAAGGCAATATGATTCCACCCCAGGGAGTACTGATGACGACAACTACCAGGAGTTGATTAAACTGGCAAGAAATATTTCTGGACAAAACGCTGAGCCGCCTGTGTGTGATACAGCTGAGAGGGGACCTTCCAGTTATTCTGGGTGTCAGGTACTTTGAGCTATACTAAGTTCCCTGTTCGTCTCAGCATTTCGACTCTTATTTTGAACTTTTCTCTTTCTCCTCACAGAGTGACCAATCTTCCGCCGCTCAAGAAAGTTATTCTTTTAACACAATTTCATCAAATATACCTTCTCTGCAATCTGTACCTTCAAAGACTTCTTTAAGTTGTGGACCATTCCAAAGCGATAGTATGATGAAGCCCTTCAACTTGTCCACACTCAAGGTACATCAATTAAAGAGTTGCACAAAACTATTTGTGTGAATTGTCTATGTCAGAAATGAAAGTTTGCATCAAACCTTTGTTTTTGTTTCTGTCTCACCACTCTTCTGAGATCTATGTTAACTAACTGTAAAGATTTTTGAGATTTATAGTGTTTTAGAATAACCAGATGTCATTCTTAGCATTTCGGACACTGATTATGAACTTTTTTCTGCCTCATCACAGGCTGGCCAATATTTTGCATCTCAAGGAAGTAATTCTATTAACAAAAATCCATCAAATGTGCCTCCTCTGCAATCTGACCCTGCTTCTATGTTGTTCGATCATGAAGTACCTCCCAATAAGGGTGCTACGGAGTATGCCTCCAACTTCAACCAGCTTAAGGTACCGCATCAAGACAATTGCATGTCAGGATTAGTGGGAACGATCCATGTCTAAAATGACAGTTTGTACCAAACGTCATGTCCTTGAATTTTTTTCGGGATAAAGTCGAACCATCTGTCTATATTTGTTGTTAATAATATATAACATGTAGCTAGGTTGTAAGATAACCAGGTGGTGTTTTTAATATCCTGACAATGAATTTAGATTTGTATTTTCTATCTCATTAACAGGAGAGGAACCAAACTAGTTCATCTTTTGGAAGTAATTTGAAAACCCTGTCCAAATCATCTGCCCCCGAAAGTAAGGAAAGTCGGGATGAATCCCATTCAGGGCACCATATGCAGGACAGTTCTTCCAATTATGTCACACCTAAGGTACTAATTCAAAACTCTTGCATGAAAAGATTACCTTATAGTGTTTTGGTCAAAAAGAAAAAGACTCTTGCATGAAAAGATTACCTTATTGTGTTTTGGTCAAAAAGAGAAAAGACTCTTGCATGAAAAGATTACCTTATTGTGTTTTGGTCAAAAGAAAAAAAACAAGCTGTGTCATCTGTTATTTCAAATCCGCCTTCTTTTCTCAGGGTGATACTAATACGATGGAAAGAGGTTCCCACCACCCATCGTCTTCTCCACCATCTGAGACTGAGAACTCTTCTGTGCAAAAGGTATAGTATTTGTACTTCCTCCTCCCTCTCTGGCCACTCTAGTTATCACTTAGCTTTTCACTCAGCTTTGTGGGTAATCTGAGAAGTATAAGTAAATCATGATTTTCCAGCCATTTGATTTTCCAGTTCTTTGGTTTATTGTTCAGATTCGTGAAGGACCTCCAATTGTTGTAGTATCCATGTTTTCTGACAATGAGGATTGAGTTGTGAATAAGTCTTTTGTACATTTATGTATTTCATGGGACCTAAGATTCTGAAACTTGACAGAGCTACTGATGATGCCCTAAATGTCTGAACTATATTGCTTGGGCTTTCAGACTAGTTCCCCTGGCTTATTCTTTTTACTGTCTCATCACAGACTGGCCAATATTCCGCCGCTCAAGAAAGTTATTCTTTTAACACAATTTCATCAAATATACCTTCTCTGCAATCTGTACCTTCAAAGACTTCTTTAAGTTGTGGAC